GCATGACTGAGACATAAACCTGAAAGCTTTGTAACCTTTCCCACAGTGATTCAATAAATAAATAAAAAAAAAAAGTGTTGTGAATAACTACCAAACAATATATATATTTCATCTACATGTAAAAGCAACATATATATAAAATGTATGAATAGAAATGTATTTCTATAAAGCGAGAAAATTTTTGGAGCAATGCACAAAAAATAACTTTATCCACAGTTATTCTCTGAGAAAAAAAAAAAGAAGATGGCAAGGAAAACAGGAAGTCTCATTTCATTTTGTTCATAGTCCTTAAACTTTTCAACAAATCTTTTGTTAGAAAAAATTATCAAGAAACTTACAATTGTGAGACCAAAGAAATAGTAGTGGTTAGGACACTTGTCATACATGCAGCTGCAGTTGTGACAATGATTCAGTCCCCATTACTGCATATGTTCCTCCGAGTACTGCCATGTGTGTCTCCAGCAGAGAGCTAGATGTGGCCCCTGAGCACCACTGAGTGTGCACCCCTCTAAATCCCCCCCAAAAAACTAAATCTTTTTTTTTAAGTGTCTATAAACTTTGATTCTTGGCACTTTGCCTAAGAAAATAAGCATAAGTTTGAAGTTACATTGGTAATAAGATACTGGTGTACCACTAGTAATAAAGAAAAAGTGAAAATTTCCAGGAAAAGGAAGATATTCACATTATGTAAAGTCACAGTATGGGATAATACAGTCAATACAGTCAATAGATTATCTATAGGGGCTGGAGCAATAGCACAGCAGGTAGGGCATTTGCCTTGCAGGTGGCCGACCCAGGTTCGATTCCAAGCATCCCATATGGTCCCCCAAGCACGCCAGGAGTAATTCCTGAGTGCAGAGCCAGGAGTAACCCCTGAGCATCACTGGGTGTGACCCAAAAAGAAAAAAAAAGATTGTCTAATGTGAAGGTGGCTATAGTATAAAATTAAGAAACTCAGAAAATGTATTTGACAACATAACTTTTTAGAATCCAAAAGTTGAGGTACAGAAAGCCATTTTTTTGCATGCTATTTGGCTAACTTTTATAAAGCTACTTTTCTCAACTTCTAAATATTTTATAAGCTGTTAATGAAAAAAGAAATATAAGATGATGCACATTTTAGAGCTTAAAAAGATGCAAGGGGACCAGAAGGTATGGTCTTCTTTGATGCCTTGCATTCTTTCTATGACCCAGGTTCTATTCCCAGCATCTGATAGCTTCCCAAGCTCTGCCAGGGGTAGCCCTAGAGAATCCTAAATGCTTCCAGCTCACTAAGTCCCAGCACCATCAGGCCTGAAAAACATCACAAGCAGTGAATTGAACTAAATGGTCCAGTAGTAAAATTTTGCTTGGTTTTCCCTCCTCTGCCCCGGGTCAGAAAGAATAAAAAATAACTACCAACCAGCCCAGCAATCTACCGAGAGTATCCTGCCCGCACAGCAGAGCCTGGCTAGCTCCCAATGACACATTCGATATGCCAAAAACAGTAACAATAACGGGTCTCATTACCCTGACCCTAAAAGAGCCTCCAATACGGCAGCATTGGTAAAGATGAGTAACGAAAAGCTGCTAAAATCTCAGGGCTGGGATGAATGGAGACACTACTGGTGCCCGCTAAAGCAAATTAATGAACAACGGGATGAAAGTAATACAGTGATTACCAACCAACCATGCTCCTGGTGTTGAACCTGCCTTTATAAAAAGAAAATTCACTATTTAAAATGTATAGGTCAGAAAGGTAGATTTCTCACTGTATTCGGAAAAACAAATAAATTTATGCACTTTCATCTTCCAGCTTACATGATCTTAGTATAGTATTTCTGCCTTTCCATTCATCACATAATGATAACTACACTAAGTGTATCTTAACTTTACATATATATATAACTTAACTTTACATATATATATATGTTTACTCTCAGAAATCCAAGTAAACCATTTAATTTTCTAAAGTGAACATAAAATAAATACTAATTAGCAATCTCAATGTCACTACCAAACTTCAGTATCTCTACCTCTTTCCCCTGGCATCTTAAGTCGTACAAATTTTTCTCAACTATATATATTCCAAGTATAGAACCTAACCACAAAATACATGACTCCAAAATGTCAATTGCTTTATAAAAGGATATGCATTAGAAAAAGGAAACAGCAAAGTCTTATATGTGGAAGGCTTTGGGTTTAATCCCTGGTATGGTCCCTCATTACCACGGGGCGGGGGGTGGAGAATGATTATACTTTAATAAGAAGTTTGACTCATACATGAAAATATCCTCTTGAACATGTTGGAGGTCTTGGTGGTATAACCCTAGGACAGGAGCAAATTTTCTCTTAAGGAACAAAAATGGAATTCTTAGGGCTTAGTTGTCCATGGTCTCCCTTCTCTACTTAACTACTTTGGAGTGCAAAAGCAGCTTTTGACACTGTGCTAGTAAGTAAGTAGGGTTTTGTTTCAATAAAATCTTATTTTCTTACGTTAAAATTAAATTAAAGGGCACAGCCATGGCTCCAGAAGCACAAGAACTTAATGCAGAGCCCAGCAACTAGTGGCAGAAAAGTGAATGGACTATGCGTTAATCCACGGCACCATGCCTCCAGAGCCACAGAAACCAATCTCATAATTATCTTGCTCTCGGCAGAAATACTTCCAGGCTTAGTAAGTAAAATATCAGAAATCCAAAATCGCGCGGATATCATTTGGTTCTTATAACCAGCTGTAGAAAACAAATTATTTAGCAATGCCTTTTCAGCAGGTCTGATTTTGGGGTGTAAACTCTAAACAATAATGGTTCATCTTTTGTCAAAACAATCAATCTAATCAAAGTAGATAGAGTGCTAATCAGAATTCATCTGCCTCACAGACATTGGGAGGGGTGGGAGGGGGGTATATTTGGGTTTCTTGGTGGTGAAAAATAAGTACTGGTGAAGAGAAATGTGTTTGATCATTGCATGACCAAGACTTAAACTGAAAGCTTTGTAACTTTTCCCACAGTGACTCAATAAATAAAAAATAATTAAATTAAATTAAATATCATTTTTATGTCCACACCCATTATTTATTACCACATATCATTATTATTCTGATTTTTTCCTTACCACATTAAACTATAAAAAGTTGTTTGAGCTCACAATCAAGAGCTGGTGAAGAGGTAAATTTGGCCTGAGAGCTGAGGTTTGTCACAACTGTTCACAGTTAACTCCGATAACAGTTTGAAAGCCAAGTCCTCTTACTACTCCTCACTGTCTAGAAAGCTTTTATCTTCCTGTCCATATTCAAGTCTTTCTCAAACATGTCCTTCACAAAAATCTTCAGGATGTTCTTAATAATATGGGACAGTTATTTCTTTAAAACTCCACATTATTTGTACGTTTTCTGATTTTATATTATGCATACTGACTTGTGTCCAGTTATCAGTACACCAAGCCTTCCCTTGAATATTTTAAGGGAGGAATCTTCTCCTACATATTTCTTATTATTCACAGTGTCCTCCACATGGTAGAAAGCTCATGATAATAAGAGAATCGAAAGAAAAATATTAAATATTCTTAATTCCTACATGTAGATTCCAGTGGTTTAACAGCTCTTAAGGTAGTGATAAGGGCCAGGAGGATTGGTCTATGGTTGGAAGTCTGCTTCAGGTGCTGGCAGAGAAGGCAGTTGGGATAGAGAAGGGACAACTAAGTTAATGATGATTGGAGGGATTGCTCGGGATAGGAGATGTGTGCTGAAAGATGTGGACACTAGTGTTAGGGAATGTACACTGGTGGAGGGGTGGGTATTCAGTCATTGTATGACTGAAACTCAATCATGAAAGCTTTGTAACTATATTGAAGTGATTCAATTAAAAAATATTTAAAAAATACGTCACAGACATGAAAAGTATTCACGTTTTAAAATCCATTATAGCAAAATGTGAAAAATTGTTTTGTTTTGGAGCAAGAAATACCCACGTGAGAGAATCACAGTACACAGAGAAGAGTGCTACGTCAGATATAAGCATCACTGTCACTGTCACTGTCCTCCTGTTGTTCATTGATTTGCTCGAGTGGGCCCAGTAATGTCTCCATTGTGACACTTGTTACTGTGTTTGGCATATCGAATACATCATGGGGAGCTTGCCAGGCTTTGCCACACGGGTGAGATACTCTCGGTAGCACATTGGAGGCAAAACCTAGCTGCCCACAGAAATAACAGAGTACTTAATCATCCTTCTAAAGTTGAAAAAAGCTCTAGCCCTTCTGTGTGTTTAAGGCACTAGGTCCAATTTTCTCAAGACATTCCTCATTCTTTTCTTGTCAAATGGAAGCATCCAGATACACCCAGGAGCTTTCAAAGTTTGGACTTTTCTATGAAGTTTCCATGTTTAGCTAATGATTTTTTAGGAAATCATAGTAAATCTTTAGAAACTCTGAAACCACTTAGCCTGAATTCAAATTCTAAAACTATTTTTGTGTTGACTGTATAATCCTTGGTAATTAATTTCTTCAAAACATGATTTTTGCATTTACAGAGAAAAAATATGATTTTAAAGAACCTAATTCCTGGAGCTGTTGTGCAGATTAAATGAGTTCATGTTGGTAAATCTTTAGAACTATCACATAATAAACTATCAATGTTAGTTCAGTATATACAAGTGCAACTACAACTATGAGCAAATAAAATGTTAGTATTAAATAATCTAAAAAGCCACACATACCCTTGCCTTCGTATATTTTGTTTTATTTGATTTTTTTGAGATAGAATTACCCAAGGAAGAAATTTACAGAAAATAGAAAAGAGATGATATGAGAAGATTCGTATGATTTCAAAATGTGATGGAAGGAAAAACAGCAAGCTGAAAATACACATATGATTATGTAGCAAAGAGAGAAGTAAGGAAAAAATTTAATCTCTCTGGCATCATCAGAATAGGTTTTCCAAAGCTTTGGCAGAATGCAATGGCCAAAATCAGCTTCCGTGCATGGAGATAATGGCAGTACAACTCAATGGCCATACTTACCACCTTTCTCCACCCCACTAGGACCTGCCTTTTTGTTCTTCACCTTAGCAGGGCTGTTTTTCCAAAGCTTACTCTTCTCCTTTTCCTTTTCTTCCTTGGAAACATGTTCCCTAGACTTTTCAGATAAATCCTCCTCAGTGATTTGGGTTGTTTTCTCTTTTTCTTCTTCAAGATTATTCTCCAGGTTTTCCTCTATTATCAGAGTCTTAGCATCCACATCCAATTTTATTATTTCTTGGTCTTCAATTTTTAGAGTATTCTCATCAATTGTAAGGTGGAATTTTTCTGGGTCATCATTTTCATTCAGCTCCTGAGAAGAGAAACTTCCCTTTCGATTGTTATCATCATGAACTTCCTCTTCTGCCAGTATAGATTCATCATCACTGCCACTAGAATAAGAGTGACTTCTGGATGAGGTTGATGAAATAGTTTTTATGTCTACAAAAATAAAATGAAATCAATGTTTTCTATAAAGCAACTGGTTTAATTGCAGGTATCGGGCTAGTAACAAATCATACTAAACATTTTTAATGACTTAATAGACTTTTTTTCCTGTATTGTAGTGATAAAAATCTATGCAATCTATGAGTCTTTTGATGTTCTCAACAAGAAATTATATCAATGGCCAGAGATATTTTACAGGGGTCAAGATGTTTGTCTTACACATAGCAGACACTGGCTCCATCTGCAGTATATTAAATAGTCCCCCCTAAACAACACCCGGAATGATCTTTGAGCACAAAGCCAGACGTCTTCAAAACTACTGGACCACTGGGTATGTCCCTCCCCCCCAAAATTACATTTAACAAGAACCAACTCTTTCTATTTTTGGAAGTATTTATTGGAATCTTTATAAATATCTATTTTGTTACAAAAGTAGCTGAATAACCCTTTGCTTACTCAGCAGGAACAAGTGCTCTTTAATGATCACCTTGAATCCTTGAATTGCCAAAATATGATCTGCTCACAAGTTTAAATTTTCATCTCCTGTGATATCATATACTAATAAATGCTGGTAGCCAGTATGGAAATGGAAAGATCTCTAAAATTACATAATAGTTAGAAAATAAATATTTTAAGGTTTTGTATGTGTGTGTGTATGTGTGTGTGTGTTTGTGTGTGTGCCTGTGTCTGTGTGTCTGTGTGTGTGATATAGAAGATGACTCTGGTTTTCTGGTTTGACCAGACATTGCATATGGTCCCCCAAATATAGCCAGTGGTTCCTCAGCAAAGAAACAGGAATAAGCTCAGGAGCGGCACCCAAACAAAATAATAACAGAAAAATTAAAAAAAAAACAAACAAAAAGAAGAAGATAAAGATGAACTCACACTTCTACATTTACATTTACATTCCCAGAAGCAGACACTGAGATGCAAATTTCATGTGGAAGTGATATGATGATGAGCCAGTAGAGAAACTCAAGGATATGGATGAAGGGAGAGCAATAAGTCCATCAGAAAGTTATTTTAAGCAACATCTTAACTTTAATTTGTTCCTAGAGGCTCTCCAAAACTTAAACATAGAAGTTTTCCTCTCTTGGGAATGGAGTTAAGCTTTTATTCTCTTCTCCAATCATATTAGTCCCCTAAAGTCTCCCTTGGGGTTCATAAACTCCCTGAGACTTGCAAATTCTTTGTACTTGAGGGTTAGGCAACTCCAGTTGTCCAGGACTATCCTCCAAAGGCAGCAGAGGATATGGGATCTGGAGATGGGCACCCCAAGCTGTACAAGATCGTGGTGCACCCAAGCAATACTCTGATGTGGTGCTTCAGAAAGGCAGTCTAGAAACTAACTGGAGTCCAAAATTTTTTAATACTGTCAATTTAAAAAAATCAACACTGAATCTCATTACACTGAATTTCTTTAAAAGTGCATAGCTGAAAAGTCATGGGGTATACTCCTGCAGGCCAAAGAAATAAAAACTTGCTTTTGATATTTTTTAACTTATTGGTCTGTTTATGGTAGCTTTTTACAGTCTATTTTCAAATGAAACATGCAATACTTAAACACTGACTAGCTTTCTTGTTTTCTCTTTTCTGTGCCTGCCTTACACTTTGTGTGTGTTTGCTTAAATTTGGCTTTTGCTCTTTAGTTCTGCTAGGCAGCTATCCAGATAGCTGTAGCAGCTGATAAGAGTTTAAGGGAAGAAATAACTCTTATCCTCTTTTCTCAGTCCCTCCAGCCCTTAGCACCTCTCCACCACAGATCTTAGAATCTTAAGTACAGGCACAGAGACATATATGCGTTCCCACAAAGATTCAAGAGATACTACACAGGAGTAAAAAACAAACTCCAAAAAAGCCTTTAAGCAATAGAAGCCCTTGAGTACAATCCCATTTGCTCTTATCTCCCAACTACCTTGACAGCCACCAGCTGACCACTGATTCTCAAAGGAAATCACACACTTTAGTCACTTTTCCTTATCATCAGTTTATAAAAATCTGGATATGCTGTCTCTCTGTAGGGAACAGAGCAGATCAAGGGGAGTTGTTCTTAGTTGGACCAATTCAGAAGCTTTAGGGGCTATGATCTCCTCTTCTCTGAAGCATCTCACTTTTTTTTCCTTAACAAAAGGAAAACAATTCCTGCTAGCTAGTGGTTTGTTCAGTAACTTTTATTAACTGCAGAATTTATCTAGGACACAATGTTATATTTGTTCTGTGCTTCCTAAACTTCCGTACTTCTAATAAAAGATGAGGACACCCACTTTTTACTCTAGAGCTATCCATGTAATTAAAAAAAATGAGTGCTCTTCTTTCTCTATTTGTTTCTGCTAATTGTACCATTATATTTTAAAAAGCTAAAACATTGGTTCAATTTTGAGTGAGTTCTGTAGAGAAGATCAGGAAAAGAAATGGCCTTAAAGTAGCCGGTTTACCTGATCTCCTGTAAAAACCCATTTCAGTTGTCAGATCTCTCTAGCCATATTCAGTTTCATTCTCATATTGTTCTCATTTTCACACAGTGAATGAAGGAAGACTTTGTTTACAAATAAACAAAAAAGCTCAAAAAGCTTTAGGGCCATGGAATAAGGTTTTGAAAAACGAATATTTATTCTTAGAAATAAGAGAAATTTTTTGGTTTTTGTTTGTTTTGCTTTTTGGGTTACACCCAGCAATGCACAGAGGTTACTCCTGGCTCTGCACTCAGGAATTACTCCTTGAAGTGCTGGAGAACCATATAGGATGCTGGGAATGAAACCCGGGTTGCCCACATGCAAGGCAATGCCCTACCCACTCTGCCATCGCTCCGATGCTATAGTCTCCATTAAAAAATAAAAGTTTTTTAATGAAACTTTTAGATAAAAATATCTTATGAAAAAAATATTCTCATTAGAACGGAAACATTTCAGTGGCAGGTTGGTGATCAACTCTGCTTTCATTGTTTCTTTTGTCTCTGCAGTGTTCCCTCCAGGCACTGATGCTAAAAGAATCTGCTCTCAATCTTTATGGTCTTGGTGCCTGAGTCCTTGGTCAAAGCCACCAAATTCGGTGCTCTGATTCTGTGTCCTAACCTGGACCTCTAAATTTTCTCTTTACATTCACTCTCCAAAATTTTACTCTTTTCATTAATAACTCTTCCTTCTTTTAAGCCATTATTATGTCATGCAACATGAGACTGTGAGAAAAATGTATTTTGTAACACTAGGTGTATTAAAGTTTGATTTAGTCAATTTGTAGATTTGGGTTTGCTGTTATCTAATATTCTCTGTTTTCTTTGCTGTAAAATGGGGATATTCTCATAGATCATTATAAAAATTTCATGACAAAAAATTAGACCAAAGAGTCATTCATTTTATGACTTCCAGTTTTTTCCCTCCATGAAATCATGTTAAGTTTTATTTTAATAAATATATTTATTGTGATTTCTGACTGTAGCACTGTCCTCCCATTGTTCATCGATTTGCTCGAGCAGGCCCAGTAACGCCTCCATTGTGAGGCTCGTTACTGTGTTTGGCATATCGAATACGTGACGGGTAGCTTGCCAGGCTTTGCCATGCAGGCGAGATACTCTTGGTAGCTTGACGAGCTCTCCAAGAGGGGCAGAGGAATCGAACCTGAGCTGACCGGGTCGACTGCATGCAAGGCAAACGCCTTACCCACTGTGCTATTGCTCCAGCCCTGTATATTATATTGAAGAGCAGTAATTGCAGTTACTAATGAGGAGAATAGGTAAACCTTTTCATGACTGCATCAACTGTGTATCATCAATGAAGTAAGCATTAATTCCATGTTCACAGTTACTTGTCTTTTTCTACACTCAGAAACTGAAGCGCAGAGAAGTTAATATGAGCTCATTAAAAAAAAATAATAGCAAGTACTGTAAAAATTCCTTGTAATAATCTACTATAGTAAAATCAAGATACTGCATACTACAAAGAGATCGTCAGAGAGAAAGCAATTACAGTCAGGGTCCCAGAATTTTTTATTTGCTATCCTTAATTTTTCCCTTAAAGATATCAATAGAAAATGGTGCTCCAAAACATTAGAACTCAGAATTCACCATCTGCACACCCATGTATACTCCTATTGTTATTTTTTTTATTGGCTACCACTCAAAAACACTAAAAAAAATCCATTTAAAATGCCCTGAATTTCATTAAAATAAAGCTAAAGAGAGTTGTGAAAAGCTCTTTTTTAAATTTATTATTATTTTTATTGAATTGACAATGAATTTCAGAGCTACAAAATTATTTATTATTGAGTCTCAGGTATATAATGTTCCAACACTTATACCTTCTCCAGTATCTACTTTCCTCTACCAATATCCCCAGTTTTCCTCCGTCCCTGGTCTTTATTACAGTCACTTTTTTGTTTTACTTTTTTCTACCTTTGTAATACTGTGGTTTACAGTATTGTTTTTAATAGGATATCATACATATAATTTTACCCTAATTTATATTACTGATCATAAGTATATGTGTTAAAAATGTCAATCATTTATTTTGTTTACTTAACTAAATACCTGTTGGCATTAATAAAAAAGCACACATATGTAACGTTTATAAATATATATAAGTATACATCTATACTGGGACCTCCATACTTACCTATACCAATAATCTCCACTGTTATGCAACCTAATTAGCCAGCTTGCATATACCTGGACACATACAAATGCAACAAGACACAAATCACATAAGCAACACAAATTCATAGTTAACACCAACTCAGCAAAGTCAGGATACCCCTGCTCTCCATTCTCATAACCGAGGTTCTGACAAGTCCCATACCTTCCAATCCACTTACTGAGATTTATTCACATTCTAGATGCATATTGAGCAAGCCTTAAATGTTGGTAATGTTCTAGGTATTGAGGGTACACTAATGAAAAGGGCAGACCAGTCCGTTGCTTCCAGGAAGAGTGCACACCCTGGGAAGAAATTTCCTCATTTTGTATAATCCTAGTAGATCAATACTGTATTCACTGAGGTGTT